TCCAACAGTAGTAAAGTTATTTTGTGAAAGAGAATGTGATATATTCTGAAGCCGAGATCTTAATCTATCTAAACGAGAAATAACTTTTTTCTTATTATGATCTGCTCTAATAACCTCAATATCGGATTCTCCTTTTTTTTGCCTAAAACAATAAAGAAAATAATATGATCCACGCTATCTGCCATACATACCTTCTCTCGTGTGCTCTTTTTCACAGATTGAACATGTTGTAGGCTGAATTCTATAAAAAATATCGAAGCTATTATTATAATTTCGATAAGACAGAAAAGGAAATTGTTGTTCTACTATTTTTATCGCGGTATCACTCTCTTCACGTGAAACAGACTCATTTTTCAGTTTTTCCTCTTCTTCCCATTCATATGGCCAAAGTTCTATGGAATCTTTCTCAATATGAGTGATAAGTGACTCTCTCCAAGTATGGTTTGAAAGTATGCGCTTAATGCGTGAAGAGTCTTTAGCTTTATGACTTCTTGCTAGTCGAAAGCAATGGAGATCTTTGTTTACTTTTTCATCAATAAAAGAATGCATTCTTTCTGGAAGAAGTTCTAAGATTCGCGATGTAAATTTTCGAGCTTTGGATGTGCCACGAACGAAATATCTAGGTAATATCAAGTGTTTACTCCATTTCATTTCATTTGAGAAATCAGCTATAATAATGACATGCTTTGAAAGATTCAATCCAGTTATCTCTTTTATTGTAATTCGGAGAGCATTCTTGATATACAAACTAATCTCATCCCTTTTTATGCATTATATCTGTAGATTTTCGCCATGTATAAAGATGTGTATTGGCAATATAACAATCAAATGATTTTTGTCCTAATGCCTTTTCTATTCTATCTAAAGGATCGGGATAGGACGCAAATTTTTCCAATTCACCATCCACATCAATCTTGATTTTTTGTGATCGCCCTGCCCGAATAACTTCATGAAATGTACGATGGTTTTCGGGTATCGAATCGTGCCATATTTCAAACTCAGATAAGTCATCGAAATATCTATAGCTATGAGGATACTCTTGCCGGATAACCCATCCTTCAGGTTGAACATTTTCCGAGGCATAAAGGCATTCTTTTCTAGGGCAATCGGGGCGGTTAAGATATTTATATTTTCGCAAGACTCGTTGCTTATCTCTTGTTAGATTCGGAAAATCGTCCCCAGAATCACTATTATACTCTGAGTTTTCATCTGATAAATAATCATATTTTGAATGCGAATGCCAAGACATTTTTTTGATTTGTATATATGCGTTGTTTGTATATGCCGTTGTTTGGTCTGACAAAAAGTATATGTTTTAGAAATTATAATAATTGATAGATAAATCTTTAAAATAAAATTAATTATTCCGAATCACGATGGCATTATACCATTGCTCATATATTCATAGAACTGGAAAAATCTGTGGTTGACGTAGTAACTCAGAAAGATGTTATATTCATCGTAATTCTCCAATACCTACTCCTTGTAGAGATTGTGGTGAGCCAAATAGGTCTAAATACAATGCATGCAATAAACATGTAGGCAAATATAAAAGTAAAGAGAATTATCACAGAAAAAAGCAGGATGAGTTATGTGCACAAATTATCATGTTTAAAAATTATATTTCTGACTTACCCGATTCTATGCATGAAGTATAATCATATACCTGGCATACGTGTATATTGATTATTTTTTCCAGGACCTCTCTAAGTAATTCTATATCTTCTTTGATCCCTTCTATATTTTTGGTTATCTTATTAAGTAAAGCTATTGATTCCAAGATTTTTGATCGATCTCATGTCTTGTTCGCGTCCATTTTCTGATAGAATTACAATAACCATGATCCATTCAATTTCCTTAAAAATTTAAATCGACATATCTGATCCGATCAATTTTTTTCCAAATATCGGGTGGCAATACCCGGATTTAAAAATTTTATTTTAATATATAATTCAATTTTCTTGACAGTTGCACAGGCAACATTACAAATGGAAATATCAAACTCTTGGAGCTTTGGACAAGAATGAATAACATTCCAAATTGCTATTTCAGAAATCCCTTTACAGTTAGAAATATTCAGATATTTTAATTTATGGCATAAATTTGCAATTGCGTATAGACCTTTATCAGTTATTAATCTACCATAAGTCCCCTTTGCTAAGTTGAGATAGTCCAGATTGGGATATGATTTTGCTATCTGATTTAATGATTTATCCCCGAATCCTGCACTAAAATGTAAATCCAGATGAATTATATTTGGAAACAGGCGTATAATACCTTTGAATTTTTTATCAGAAAGTGAATAGTAGTGTGGAATTTTCAGATGGGTTACATTCAAACAATAAACAGGCTTTTGAACCCCATGTATTATTTCCATAAAAATTTTTCGTATGTTACTATTCTTTAGCTCAACTCGTTTCCATAGAATAGGAGCACCGTATCTGTACCACAATCGGGAAACATATAGAGCAGGATAGAGGGATTTATCCATTAATAAAAAATATAAAATCCGTTCTAACACTTCTGGTATAGTAAAAATTCTTGAATGTTCCATGAATACGTGTAATATATGTATTAAAAATGCAAAGAATGATTTAAATTTCAAATTGATGGTCAGTTACCCTTATGTGTCATATACTCTCTTTTCCGAACATGGGAGGAAAAAGGATAATTAATTTGATTTGAAAAAATAAGTAGGCTAATATATAATCAATTTACTTATCGATATATATATTATTTACATACCTATCATGGCAACCGTCCTAAGAACTAGAAAACCCAACACTAATAACTTCCATTTTGGATCAGATCCTCAATAAATACAATCTATCTGCCGAATCAAACCCGCTTCAATTACGTGCTCATGCCGATGAGCTTGGTACTATGCTACTAGATTGTAAGGCTCGTAAAGATGTGAAAGAGGCTCTTCACCGGCGCCTATTCAAAAACAATCAAATAGAAGCTCTTGTACCGGACAAAAGGGGGAAAAAACTTACTATCAAGGAAAGAGCTCAATATTGTGCAAAAACTGAAGATGTGTGGGATATTTGGTTACATGCTTTAGACTTAGCTGTTCCAAAAAATAATACAGATGAGGCGATTGTGGCGGCCAGTTCCTGTTTATCGCAATTTTGTAAAGAATTAGTAGAAGCTGGAGTTGATCCTGAGCAAATTAATACATATGCCAAATTACCAAATATTAATCGAGCTTCTAACAAAATTCAGAAGAGAAAACTTGAACTGGGATTAATCAGTCGACCTAAAATGCCTAAACACTTCTCTTTAGAAGAGGGGCTTAGAAGACTTCAGAATATCCGTACCACTGAGACCCCCACTCTATAAGATCTCGCAGATGTGATCATGATGTTGAGTATGAGACCTGCTAAAGTAACTACTCTTCGCATTATCCATTATGAGCCTGACGAATCAAATCCTCCGGAATGGTATAATCCCGATTACTCTTGGTATTGTACTGGGTATATTAAAAATAAAGGAGAAGCAAAAAATAATTCGGAACCTCGACCTTTTCTATCCATGGAAAAGAATTCAGAATGTGTAAGAAAATTACTTACCTGGATTCAAAATGCAATAACGATTGGAAAGTTGCGTAATCCTGTCTATAGTATTAATGGAAAACGTAGTACAGGTGTATTTAGTAAATTTTTAAAGCCATATGGTATTACAGCTAAAAGGTTAAGAAAAATCGGAGGTAAACATGCTTCTAGAGTTCATGGTGGTCAAAATTCAACCTCACAACATCTCGCTTTCCTCAGCAGGATTGCAATGAGGCATAAGATAGATCGTCATGATTCTGGAATGTATTATGCTGAAGGTGATACTTCCGATTTTGATCTTGACTCAGATCTAGAGCCTGAACCCGAAATTCAAGCTTTTATAACTAAACCAATTGATAAAAATACTTCTACGTCTGAAATTGAGGATATCTATTACTTATATAGGAATATCTAGATTAGTAATATAATTAGTTATTAATCGTCAGATGCAATATGCTTACTAATTACGCTTCTTTGCTTTCATCATATCCACAGTAAAATCTTTATCATCGTTGTCGGAGGTAGTCACTTCGTAGCTAAACGATTCAGAGTCGGACCCAGACCCAGATTCAGATGAAGACGAGAACTCAGATGCAGTATCATTAAAAATTAATTTTTTTCTAGCTTTGCATTTTCTTTTAGCCTTGCATGGTGTATGATTTCTTTGAGGGATATCCGGGTTTGCTATCGAGTTTATAAGTTCTTGACGAACCTCGGGTTTTACTATCTCTAGTAATCGGTGAAGAGAGATCCAGATTTTTTTCCCCGATACTTGCTTAACAATATCAGATACTGCTTTATCGGTAATATTGGGTAAACTTTTATCTTTTACAAAACCCAATTTTTTCGCAATCTCATAAGTGATAATTGGACATTCTGAGCCTGAATCAACTATGCCCTCCACAACTTCATCATTGACATCAATCAAACATTATTTAAAGTTTTTTATGGATTCTTTCACCAAGTTGTCATCAATATTGTTATTAGCTTCAGTCATTGTAAATGCGAAATTATTATTTATTAATACGAATTTAAAAATTCAGAATTAAATATATTGTTATAATTAAACATCACTATGAGAATTTTATCTTGCGAAATTAATAAAGCACCAGTAACCGTTATATTGGATTCTGGTGCTAATTGTAATATTATGGGCGAGAGTATAGCAAAAATAGTAGGCTTGAAAATTGATAATACCTCCGATACGGAAATATACAGTCCCATTAGCGAGTTCAATATATTGGGAATAATTCGTGCAATAGAGATTTCGATCCAATCTCAAGATCGTAAATGGGAGCAAGTAAAAGTTACTGATGTTTTCGTTACCAATGAACCCGAACTTGAATCTGTACTAATATTGGGTCAGCCGTGGTTCCAGGAAAATGCAATGAAACTGGACTTCCCAAATAAAACTCTCATATTACTCAATGGAACTAGTTGTGAGGTTAAGTTAATTGAGAATATTCGGGAAATGAATAGCATATACGTATGCTTAAAATTTCGACATTGTAAGTTATTGCATATTTCGTAATACAATAAATATTAATTATTTATCGCAATAGCAAATTCCCCTATTTCACGAATTCATGCATATGATACATTATATTTTTTAGCTATATCCCGTAATGTATTTGCTGAACCCCTGCCTTCTCGTGACCCCATCACTCGAAGCCAGATAATTATATCACTAATTGCTTTGGGTGATAAGTATGTAGCATCTGATTTTAATCTTCTAATCATTTATATACGCAAAAATTAAAACCATATTAAATACGTCTGAAATAAGTAGTAAATATACAGTATAATGAGTTATAGCAGAGTGCGAGACAGGTTAAGTGAATATGGTGAAAATTATATTGTTAACAATATTAAAACGTCAGAAGCATGGTTACAGTTTGCAAAATATTATCCACCAAATACGTACGCAAACGTTTATTAAAGCTAGGATATGAAATAAATAGTAGAGATTATTGGGAAAATTTTATATTTCATATCAAAAATAATTTGACCAGCCATAAGCAAATAGGTAATGACTCTGAATATAGAAATTTTAAAGTTCAACTAGAATTGTATAAAAAAAATCGTGCGTCATTAATTATCCAACGGACATATCGTTTATGGAGAAGACAAATTAATTCCGCTAAAATAATTCAGCATGCAATAATTAAATGGCTATATCGACCAGGTGACACATTAATGAAACAAGCCAAAGATCGATATTATCTACGGGCGGAGAAGAAAATACCACATGGTTGACCTGTTAATTTACCGATAATCCGAAACAATATTTACAACTTCTTAATAGTAATAAATATGAGCATATATATGACCCGAGAATGATTTTATTAGAGTTATGAATAAATTCACGGATAATGTAACTGGAGTGTTCGATCATACAGAGTTGCGAGATAGATAAATCACCCGAGTTTATTAGCTTAAATCATCAACCGGAAATTTTCAATTTCGACCAATCACATCACGAGCAATGTCATGCGTAGAAGTTCGTGAAACATATGATTATCGTTATTTTTTTCGTTTATATAGGCTGAAAAATGCCTCTATTACACATACTTTCACGATAAGAACCAGCGTAAAAGAAACTCGAAAAGGCAATAAGAATCAAGAGTCCGATGTTTCCTATCAGCTCCGTTATCAGAAAATGTCAGTTATGTGGCTTTGCAGTCCTCGCAATTCTGGATCGTCGTTACATTAGCTGATTTCGTTGCGAACGTCGAACTAAAAAGGAGTTTTATTCATGCGCATGACTCATTGCTCAACATATCCACAGACCTTGGCGTTTAGTTACATATGAAAACACTTTTTACGGAGGCTGAATCGCAACAAGTTTAATTATGATTTCGGTAAAAGTCAATTTCTTAATTACTAGGTTCGGAGATTCGCTCGATAAAGTTTGGATCATTTTTCCAGGAAGTTATAGATCGAGCGAATGAAAACATTATAAATAAGTAGGTTTTAGGGAGACTTTATTTCTTAGGATACTTCATATCTCGTACAACGACTTCCCACGAATTTTTAGCACTTTATATTAACTTACGCTAAAGGTATGTATTATCTTTCAAAGAAAATGTATTAATGACTTTGATGTATATATAAAAGCGAAATTACTCTCCAGATATAGTCAATACTCATTATGGGGCTTTGTATTTAGGAAACAGAAATGGCTAGCGAAAATCCTATCCCCTCAGGTGTGGTATTCATAAGGATCCGGATAGAACAATTTACACTATTTGGCCATGCAAAGAAGATAAGGTTTATGTGATCAAGTTTGCTATCGGGTCTCTATTGGCGAATCTAGGTCACCAACCTCTCTCCCTCAATTTCGAACTCTATGTGAACGATCCCGAGAATAAAGATCCTATGAAGACGTCGGATGAAGTTTCTAAATATTTCGATAGAGTCCCTAACCAGGATCAAATTCACATTCTCATAAAGTCTAGGAATTAGGTGTTTCCAGCATCCAGCTAGATTTTTCTATTTGTAACGGCGCCATGTATTCGTAAATTTTATTATTGTGTTAGTTCGCCTTTCAAGGCATTTTTTTAGTAAAATAAATTACGCGTTTTAAATTGGGGATCCGTTTATGTAGTCTGTGTGACCTACATTGCATACTGATCCCGCATCAATCGATAAAATTTTTTTTCGCACCTCTTATCCTCATAATAGTCAACACTAGCCAATAACATTTCACAAAAAACAATATATAAGTCGCTATGTCTATCACTTTAGTTTGTCTTGTCAAAGGTAATACAACTGCGAACGCGATGTTGATGCTAGCAAGTTGGTTAGTCACCTCAAGGAGGCTATTAAGGAGAGTCAAAAACCATTTTTCGACGGTGTTCCAACAAAAGATATCAAGCTATGGAAGGTAGAAATTCCTGACGATCGCGCTTCCGAATTAGCCAACCCACATTAGATGACGAACTCCTTGCAACGAAAAAGATTTCGAAATACTTTCCTGTCACGCCAGCCGAAGAATGTATTCATGTTATAGTCGAACCACCCGTATCAACCACCACTTCGAGCCGTGAACAGGAATTGCTTGACCGCATCGCATCGTTGGAGGCATCGATTAACAAGTCTGTCCATGGTACATGTTTCAAATAATATGTATAGGCACTATATGCCTGCGAAACAAAAATTTTTCTTGGCAAAAAACCGTGAACACCGTTCACGATCGGAATATTTTCTTGGCAAATTTTTTTTACTAACCGAACCTTTGTATCGTAGAGTTCGACGTTATCGCGAGTCCAAAGCGGACAAAAGGATTCAAGTGGACGGTGAATATCGAGCAAGCAACTCTCGAAACTCTCAAAGATTCTATATGTGCTGTGTATCAAACACCGGCTATTGAAAATGATGGAGCGGTATTCAACGTTGTATGCAACAGCGGGAAATACTCAACTCGAAACGATCAAGCATTGTGTGAAATGCTCCGGTTGCTGGTATCAAAGAATAACCTCAAGTTTACCGTGTTCATAGAGACTCCCTCAAAAGCTTTCTCAGATTGGACTCTCGGCTCGATTTGCCAGCTGTACGGTCTTAGTGGTGAAACGGTGGATCCAACATTGGCCGTATTCCCGGTTTTTTCGTGTGGTAGTGTTGAACCATCGCATGAATCGTTTGAAAATCTCATGATCGAATTAAATTCCCGCCTTGACAACACCCAAATCAATTTGCTATCGATAGAGGCCACGAAATCTATATACGTCTATTCATACCTGCTTGCTGGAGCGAATAACTTCAAGGGAATGTTTGAGATCCGCCCTCAAAAGAATATTTCTGGTCCGAATGGGCATGGTCCTGTCGATTTCGCAGTTGACTTACGCCGAACAGCAAAAACGGTGGGGGTCACGGAAGTTAAGAAAGAAGATTTTGTTAAAGGCGTTGCCCAATGTGCAGTTCAGCTCGAGTCGTCTTTGTCGAATTGTAAGCGCAAGGCTAGTGAGGTGGAGGAGGAACCAACAGTTGGAAAAGTTTTTGGGATAGTCACCGATGCCGAAAAATTCTACTTTATGGAATGCTCGCTGGATGAACAAGATAGACCGAAGTTCAAACTATCGAAACCAGTAATTGTTGTGTATGATGATGCTGATATGAAAGCCAAGGTAAAGAAAGTGCTTTCTCATATCATCTGGTTGTTGGAGGAGGTACAGAAACCGGTGGAAGTTTCGCAAGGTGGAGAACAATCGAGGGTATTAAAAAAGCATAGGTCATCGAGTAATCTTGCAGAAGAGTCGGGTTAGATTAGACAAAAACTAACAGGTAGATAGTTTTCCCTTCACATGTATTTTTATCCTGTATCAGGCCCTTAGGGGTTACTTAGAGTAATAAAGGTGTCCAAGAAGGTCAATTTCCGATAATTATTTTGTGTGATAGTAGGGATGATTCCCTCCGATTTATTTAATTTTTTCTTGGCAAAGTGATCGGCGTGAAGAATTCTTCACGCACACGTAATTTTATCAAACTATTGAACATATCCGTATCTTATATAAAACAATGGGAAATCCACAATCCACAATCGATACATTGAGAGAATTAAATTCAGATCTCGTTCACCAGATTGCTGAACTTAGGGAGAATGCCGATATCAAGGCTGAAAATATAAAATTAAAACAAGATAAGGAAGAGATTGAGATCAGATTTGTGAAATTGGAACAGATCGCAAAAGGAATGCAAAGTTGAGAGATGGTGAACTCAATGCCAGAATCGTGGAACTAGAACAGTCGGCAAAAGAAAGTGAAAATCGATTTGCGAAATTGGAACAGAAGCA